GGGAGAGAGAGAGAGAGAGAAAGAGAAGTTTTAGTTTTAGTACTTTTAGTTAGACTTTTACGGCACTTCCAGAACACAATAAGGTCAATCATATATAAGTGCCAAAGATTAGAGGTATGACAAGAGAGTAACAAACAAAAAAGGAGGAAGGGTGATAAAGACGACAGATATTTGATCATTGATAGGAAAGAAGAAGCAAACCACACCAGATCACCCGCCAACCACCCACAGAAAGAGAAAGAGAGGGGGAGGGAGAGAGAGAGAGAGAGAGAGAGAGAGAGAGAGAGAGAGAGAGAGAGGTAGTGGTAGAAAGAAAGAAATGGAGATCACAAAAAGACAATCACAATGGTACAGAAAAGAAAGATTTTGAAAAAAGGAACAGCACACAGAACATAACAGTCACAGTAAGACTCAACACAAAACGAAGATCCACATCCAATATAATGACTTATTTCTAAAGACAGTCAAATAAAAAGGAACAATTTTCTTTTTTAAATTTCACTTTATTTTATTATTTTATTATTCATTTTACATCAATGTATTGTTATATTATATATAGTTATTATAACACATGACAAAGGAAAGACTGTAAATACTGTCCAATAATATCAATTGATGGTAAGATAATAATATGGCAAGACAAGACAAAGAAATCCCTTTGTCTGATCATTTTCTTAAAAATGAATTTATCTTACTTTACTTGGATACACATCTGATCTGCAAACAAATTTTTCAGAGTATATAGCACTCAGGAGGCTTATCCATTTAAAACTAAAAACAAGCCGAGGGAGGAAGCGATCCCTGTTTACAGTATATGTGTTTTTCATTTTGTATCATGTTAATTGTTATGCGTTTAGGGGAGGGAGGGGGGGTGTGTGTGTGTGTGTGTGTGTGTGTGTGTGTGTGGGGGGGGGTGTGTTTAGGGGAGGGAGAGAGAGATAGAAAGAGAGAAAGAGAGAGAGATACGCTCTGGGAGAATTGGATTAACTAACACAAAAAAACTACAAATTTATTTTTCAAGCCCTCCATGAGCCTCCCAATATAACTTCAATCAGGTGCGTTATCTCTCCATTGTAAGGGAAAGAAAAAGGGGTATCTCCTACATGAAAGCTATGGCAAGCAAGCATGAAAGCGAATGTTTGATCATTCATTTCCTCGTTTGGTTTAGAAGTCAATCTATAAATTTTATTTCAGGAGTCTGTGCTTATGTGACAATTTACTATTGGCCTACAGCTAATTAAGTAGTCCTACTACTAGACAAAAAAGAAAAGATGTTGGTCCTCTTCAAATAGAATTTCAAATGAAACAAGTGACAAGCCTGCTTATAGATGATTATTAGTGGATTGTTGCCACAGAAAAAAAAAAGCCGCTGCCAACAGATTTATGTTTATATTTATAATGTGTACCAGTAGGCTACCATAACCATGTGATTTATGTAAAAATATACATTTCATGATGGGAACAGACAGGGAAGTACCCTTGATGAGTTACTTTCTGTTTCGGAAATGACACTTCAGGAAGACAATTCTTCCCTAGCCCTGAGAATGAGCATGCATTGTTTTAAAAAAAAATTGACTTGAAAATTACAAGCTTCTATTGGACATGATGTCAATTGTGGAAACTGGAGAAAACCAAACCACAAGCAAAAAAAACCAACATAATAAGGCAATTCAATCAAACCCAAAAACATCAGCATAATTACACTACACAATGATCTACTGTTTGTTTTAGTAGAGGTTTTACGGCGCTCGCAACTGCATAAGTCATACGAGCGCCAGAAGATTAGAGGTGTTACAAGAGAGTACTTAACAAACATAAAAAAGAAGAAGGGGAGATAAGGACAATAGATATTTGACAGGAAAGAAGAAGCAAACCACACCAGAGCACCCGCCAACCGCCCATACAATGATCTACATTATTATTAGTAAAATTATTAGAACTGTCAAGATTCACCATCTGTCTTTTATACGACTAAAAGTAATAAATATATGGGCTTGTTTTGCCTGCTTAGAGATGGTTTAGGACATGGGGAAACAGAATGGAAGAATAATAATCTTTTACTTAATTGAATAAGAAATTAATTTTACCATTCTAACAAAGCAATAGTAATGTTGAGTGTAATCGACAGATGAACTGAGCAGGACGGCCCAATTTATGAATGACAGATACCAGACTTCAAGCGTGATGCAATCGAGAAGAAGAAGAAGTTGAGTATAATGTTGATCGATTTCCGAGCCCATTTTGTTCACTTAAATTTTCTACATGATTTTTGGTCATGGAATGTCAGGTAACTTTGACATGAGCAATACCATAATATGAGCAATACCATAATATGAGCAATACCATAATATGAGCAATACCATAATATGAGCAATACCATAATATGAGCAATACCATAATATGCCAGTGTGCTTATTAAAGGCAAAAAACAAGAAAAGCCAACATTGGAATAGACCGAAGATACTGAAAATTGAAACAGAAAAACATGCATGCCTGTCCCTACTCCAATTTAAGCATACTGACTATAAAAGTTGAATTCTTGAAGGGATACAAATTATTGGACCGATCATCAGCGAACGTAAAGCCGCATGAGATTAAAATCAAGAATGACTTTATGAAGAGATTTCTTAATCCTTCACATTTAACAATCAGAAACAAAAAACTAAACCATTAAAATCGAACCCTCTGAACGACATCAGTTCAACATTGAATATAAACCACAAGAAGCACATGCCAAAAATAACAACACAAAAGAAGTATATGCTGTCTCCACTCCATTCAAAGTAACCGGAACAAGAAACTTAAAAAAAAAAAAAAAAGTCTGACCAGTATCACTAAATCAGTTTGTCTCTTTACACGTCACATGCTTGAGTGGCAAATAAAACAGTGATAAATTTTTAATGTACGCTTTTTTTTACTGTACCATGACACAGCATCGGTACACTTAGATCAACCACTGAGTCTACACAGTAGTCATTCAGAGAGATAAGATGCTTGTATCCATGTATTTTTTACCAACCCCCCCCCAACAAAAAAAAACCAACACAAAAAACACAAAAAGAGAAAGACTTAAATGACAAAAGCGTCATTATGTACATGACTTACAATATACACATAGATGTACCACACATTTTATGAATCGCAAACTGCAAGAGACAGACCAGAATACCCAAGACCTGTGTATCAGTATAAGGGGTAAAATAATTTCATGATGATATTATATTCTACTTGTATCACAGTATCAGTTGACATCAAATCTGACGTAAATAAAATATATCAGAACTGGTCGGGGAGACAAACAGCCTGTTTCTCCAATCTAAATCGACACTAGAACTTTGCTATTATTAGCTTCGACATTCATGTTTGGGTTTATTTACAGCATTAGAATGGATTTTGACGACAAAAAAACATGCAGATCTACTACTCGTCAGCCAACAACAAAACTACCTCTAGACTTTTAATCTATTTTCCAGAACACGCTTTACTTGATTCATCCTGAGTGTGAAGGGCATGCTTCCTGAAGTGTGAACAATACACAATATATATATATATATATGTAAAAAACTATATATATTTTAAATATTGCACTTTACTACTGCAACGAGTAGTAAACTGACATTCTCCCTCTCTCTCGAGCATGATGACAATTGTGCTGAGACTTGATGACTCCAGAGAACTTGAAACACTTCTTTCTATTTATCATTATCATAAAACAACCTCAACTGAATTTGTTTGAAAGGTAATTTATATAAAAAAACTAAGAGGAACAAGTGGAAAAATAGCCAGGACCTAGCATCGTTTCGTAAAAGAAAACAATTTTTAAAAGTAACTTTCAAACCAGGTGGTGGGTTTGACGGTTAACAAAGCCAGAAAACAGAACACTGTTGAATTTTTAAAACAATAAACAAGGTAAGATGAGTGAGGGAAGAAAATACTGGAGAGAATCTTTAAATTAAAAAAAGAACACTTCGCTTACAAAGTTTGGAAAGAAAAAATGTGTCAGGCTGGAGCGACAAAGTGGGGGGAAAAAAATAATTTAATCCATCATTTTCTGTAACTGTTTATTCCGTTCAAACATCTTGGCTCTGTGACTCTGACTTAAGACAGGGGAAATGACATCACCGCACTGCTGAATGAGACGGCCAAACCTCTCCCTGTCCACCGCATACGCCATCCACTCCCCGCGCCGGTCTTCATTCCCAATTATGTGAACTGTCTCCAACACTGAATCAGCTGCAAAATGAATCTGAGGAAATAAATTCAAGTTTTGTTAATAAAATGAGTAAAATAATTTAGAAAATTGACAGTACCGGTACTTAAATTATGTTAAAAGTGCTTTATGAAATATGAAGAAATGAATGGCAGCCAACGCAAACATTTGATAAAAGACAGTTCTCATACAGAATGAAAACGGTTACCGTAGTATAGCTGGAAGAAGAGAGAAGAAGAAACACTTTTATAATAATAAATTAACTTTCTCAATAAATACAAAAAAAGGGGGGGGGGAAACAAAAAAATGAGAAAAAAACAGACATGGCCACAACCATTTATTAAAGAACGAAAATGAGACAATTTATTCAAAGTCAAAGTGACCAATGGATGAAAAGACACAAAGAGAGCAACACACTTCACACCTGAATCGCTAAAAAAAAAAAAAAAAAGAAGAAGCAAAGCAGAACAAAATCACAAGGGAAAAACAAAATCACAAGGGAAAAGAATTTTCAAACAAATAAAAAATCAACCCTGTCTCATCCCATAAAACAGAATTATACACACACACACACACAGAGAGAGAGAGAGAGAGAGAGA